AGCAGGTTAGTGTTTAACAGTTTATCTTCTTCTGCATAAACTCTTTTATTATTTATTATTATTCCCTAAGTGGGCTTTTCCGCGTTCATTTAGTTATAGCGTTTGGAATTAATTTTTTCCTATGTGGCTAATTCAATGATCAAGATTTGTTTTTGAATCTTAATGGTACCCAAGGATGGTATTGTCACTACTCAGATACAATTCAGAAGTGCATTTTTCCATTATTTGATTACTTCTACTCTTTGTATTGATTTTTGAATACCTCATAGATTTTTTCCCAATCACAATGTGATAGCGTTCTATGAGTTGAAGGTTCATTATTCGAAGTAAGGATGAAGCATTTAAATCATAGTGATTCTTATCTTATTTCATCTTCCGTCACTCTGTGCTTCCTTAGCTCCCACTCCTTTGTGGTCTTCCTTTCCTGGAGAAAAGGGCATCACTAACAGCACACTGGATAGCTGGGAGATCTGGAAAGCATTTGTTCCTCACTGACAATGACGATGGGAGACCTCCACTTCTACTTCGAATGGTCAATGATGGAGATGACCTTCATTTCATGTTAGTATTACATTTCACCTGATTCTCTACATATTGGCAGTGTAAAAAATTCTATTTTATTACTATTTTCTGGTAAAGCATTATTTATCACAAATGTAGGTCAGCTTTACGTTCCTTTAAGCGACGCGTGGCATATGCCAATGCAAATTATGATCGTATCCTTTTACAGGGGTCAAATTACTTTTGTTGTCGCAGTATGAATACATAACTTCCTTGCATGATTTGTTTTATGTTTACCTTTACTAATAATACCTAAGATGTGGTTGGATGGAGAACTTCATCGATTCGCCGCCAAGATGAACTTCCAAAGGTTGGTTTATCTCTTTTTACGTGGTATATGATTGTCTGAATTGATCTTATCATACATCATTTATGAAGGGAAATTCACTGGATGATTCTTCCTTCTCATCTTCCACAGGAGAATCTTCTTTTGAATGATATGAAGTATCCTCATATTGTACACATTGAAAAAAGAAATGATGGAGACATTGCTAGCAAAATGTCCTCCTCTGTTGGAACGCAAGTCATTAACTTGGAAGGTTTATTGGCCCTTATGAAATCATCTGTTTATATTGTAAAATTAGAAATCCTTTTTCTTATTTTGGCTTTGACTAAAATTTCCTTTTATATGTAGAGGAGATGATTAGAGGCCTTAATCAAGTTTCTTGGGAACGCGTCGATGTTAGCTTTCATAAAAGCAGACAACGATATGTTGCTCATAATACTATTCAGGCAAGCTTCCAATAATATCTCTGCAGAACAATAACCTGCAATTACTAGATTTTAATTATTATATTTTGGCTTCAATGTTTCATTATGTAAACATTTCAATTTTTCAAGACTGATGCCAGTGTAGAGTGTCAGACTCACTGTGTTATCTTTAAGTCAAAACTTAATCTGGTGAAAAATGTTATATTATTGAAGTTCCGATTGAGTAAGACATTAATTTTGGCCAATCATCAAAACAATTCCTTTCTTTAAAATTTTCCTCTGCACATTGGAGTGCATATTTAGTCTGACATATTCATTCTTGCCACTGCATTTATGCATTGTTCTTGTATAGAAGGTTAAACCATATTTCTAATTTAATAGAAACTAATTCTAATAAATTCAGGAAGAAATACATTGTGTAGCTCAATTTTTATTTTTTTAATGTAGTTTTACTTTTAATTGACATAGCTTGTTTTCTATCTTCTTTACACAATCACTCTGTTGTTATAACATTGTAAACCTGTAGACTGATAATGATTTGGTAAATTCTGCTTTTTCCCTTTTATTCTAGGGAAAAGTATTTTTTTACCATTAAAAACATTATAGGAAAACCTATTTGTTTAATTTTAATTGTGTTTTATATTATGCCCTGTTGTGTGCCTTTGGCATTTTTACTTGTATGCATGCTATTCACATTTTGAGTTTCCAGGTTTCCAACCTATGTATGAGATATCATGTAGGAGAGTTTTGTATAAACTTGTTCGAAAGTCAAATATATGAGTTCTGGAATAGAGTGCAAGTGGAAAAGGGAGATAATCCTTTATAATGTGGGTTGGGGTGGGGTAATTAGGTTTTATTCAAGTGCATCAACTGATATTGTGGGTTTGAATTCAGACATATCAAGGATTTTTCGAAGTTTTCATTGCCATTTATCATTATCTTTACGAAGTCATTGAGAGGCTAAGAGCTCTTCGCTGACTGTAGTGCTCATATTTTCATCATGTGGTAATAGTTTGCTCGTTTTCTGGTATCATGCTTTTGTAGAGTTACCTGTTACCCACTTTAAGATGCTTGTACACGTAAAAGTAACTTTTCATATAATCATTTCATTTCTTTCGATGTATTTTGTACATTTAGAATTTCTACTCTCTCTTCTTTCCATTTGCTTCTAATATTTATTTTCCTTGTGCGCTAGGTTAAGAGCTACTGGTTGAATTCTGATGGTGCTGATGTGGTTCAACATATGATAGATAACTTCCTACTTTAGCTATCTGTACATTAAAATCTTTCAGTTTTGAACTTGGCCAATGGTTTGAATATTTACCGTGTACACTGTCACATTTAAATTGTTTTATACATGTTTCTGTTGTTTCAATCTGTTGCTTTCTTCTGGGCATGGCCTTGTCTTAATTTCCACATTGACACCTTTAGTGTTTTTAGGTTGCTGCTTCTATTACTGCAATATCCCAGATGAGAATCATGAGTGCAACACAATAAAGATATTTGACAGTGTAATTTTAAAACTGCTTTGAATTATGTTTTCCTATATAATATATTAAAATTCTGAAGTTATAGATCCTTAATTGCATTTAATTATGCATTTCACTCAATGTTATTGTAGTTTGTTCTCTTTTTACAAGTTATGACTAGAATTACCAGTGAAAATTTTAGCTCTATGAAGTAAGAAATTAAGGGCTCGTTTGATTGCGAAGATGGAATTTGAGTGGAAAGAAAATGAATTCCAGGGAATTGAATTGTCTATAAATTGTTTTCCTGGGAATTGTAAATTATTGTATTTGATTGGTATAATTTTTCACTTGGAATTCATTGAAATAAAAGTATTTTTTGGTGTTTGTTTGACTTTATTTTATATGAAAATTGTCAATTAAAGTGATAGATTTTAAAATTACAAAATACACACACACACACTATAGTACCGAGAATTGGAATTCCAATTCCACAAAATCCAAGAAAAGAGGCGCGTGAGTGGGTTGCCAAGAATTCACTTTGCAAGAAAATTTGGGGTTTCAAACAAGAAAAAAAGTAGGAAATGGAATTTCATGGAAAAAAAAATACACAATCAAACAGGGCTTAAATTTCTTCAAAGATCTCAAATATTGAGATTGTTTTTGCAAGTGATGGTACTATGAGCAGTGTTTCCATGGAAAGTTAAATGTTTAATTTTCAATAGAACAAGATGGAAAAAACAGAGTAGTTGTCAACTTGTAACAGCTAAAATGTTATTGCAGAATGGTTTATCAGAAAGCTCAATCACCAGATACCCACCTGAGTTTACAAGTGGGCAAACCGTGGGCATTGGTCAAACCCCATTACTTTTAATCTTGTACAGATTGAACCAATGAAAGCCGACCATGGCCCCCCAAAAGAGAGTTTTCTCATAAAATCAGGATTGACTGGATTCTAGGAGTGAACACAAAAACAACGGCTGATGAGAGCTCAGAAGTGAGAACCCACCCAACACAGTGATGGAGCAGTGAGCAGTCCACACACCTTGCCAAATATGAAAAGGGCGTATATAAGAAACTTTCATGCTAGGTATCAATTCATTCCGCAAAACACATTTTGGCTTCTTTTAGGTGTTCGAATAAATACTTTTTGTTTCTCTTAAGGAATTCAACTTCTCATGTATGGCTTCTTTCGATTTTGCCAATCATTTTTATGTTGATATTCTTTAACAAACTGTGATTCAAGATTCTCCTTTTGTATGATTTTAAAAGTCACATTAAAGAAGAAATTATCGTCTATAATAATATTATTTCGTTTCCATAATTTTTATGAAATAATAAATAATTTATTGAAATCTTATTAATTCTGAACATTTGTGGTTCTTCAAGAGATATCCACGGGCGGACCCACAATGGGTTTTGATGAGTCATGTCACCCACCAACTTTCAAAATTGAATTTTGTCTTTTAAATGGAAACTCGTACTTTTGCCTACAACCCCCGTCGTCCTTTTCATTTTGCAGAACCCAGAAGAAGACCAAATTAAAAAATCAAAACCCTTCTCTAAGTTCCATTCCCTTGGAAAAACCAAAACACATTCTATTCACTTTTAGCCTCTTGCCTGCTATTCTCTAGCCGTGGCTATTTATCGATTCTGTTCGATCACTACTGTTGCTGCGATTTCGATTGTGCTGCTAACTGCTCCGATTGCTATCAGTCCACCAGCAAACTTGGACATTGCCAATCCTCCAAAGGGTTCATCGTCAGTCCACCACGACTTCATTCTTCAAAGTTCAAATCCCAGCCCAAAGGTCACTAATTTGCTATGTTGCTTCTTGTCCAGACCTCTGGTTTATTAAATTGCGGTTGGTTTGCAATTTTGAAGTCATTTTCAGTTTTTTAAACAACTCAAAACATGTTTTGCATGTTATTTTTAAAATGCATTTTCGAAAATAGTTCTATTCATAGATTTGCGCTTGCATTTATACAGTTAGATAAAAATTATCTATTTTTAAAACAGGAATTAAAGTGGTAGATCTTTTATCACATTATCACCGTGGGGGCAAAAGTCAAACTAATTGGAGGAGATGGAATTAGTAAAATAGTACTCATTATGGAATTGATTAACAATATTGCCAAAATCTATGGGGACGTATCTGTATTGGGCGGAGTGGGTGAACATACTCGTGAAGGAAATGATCTTTACATGAAAATGAAAGAATCTGGAATGGGGTTGCTCCCTCTGCAAATCTTGGATAAAGTGAAACCAGAAGTTCTCGATTCAAGATAAATTCATAAGGAAGTGGTACCTCTTTAAAATATATTTAAAAAAATTTACAATTATAAAACTAAAATTCACTTTTTGACATTTTGTATTTTTAAACCAAGGAAAATGAATTTAAAATTTTCTCAAATTAAAATAATTGATAAAATCACACAAAATCTACTCAAATACAAATACTCATCTTCAATCTTATTTTTTCTCTCTCAATTTATTATTTATGGCTAATTTCAATGCGATTGTTGGAGACCTACTTTAATGATTCCTTTTTATACCAACTTTAAAACTTATGTTTTATGATCACGTATTAGCATAAAAGTTGACATCTTTTACTAAATAATCAAATTAATTGAAAATGTCATAAAATTATTTCTAAAGTTTTTAAACTAAACACGTTTTCTATTTTTTGTTTTGAAAAATAGTTTTTAGAATGACAAATCAAAAAGGTTTTCTAGAATCTTAAAATAATACCACAAAATAGAAAATCGAAAATGAATTCAAAACTGAAAGCGAAAATGTAAACCAAATGCATCCTTAGTTTTTGCTTTAGCATTTGCTTCTACTGGCTGTTACTGTATCTCTTAATCTGAAATTTGGAAATATATTTTTAATTTGTGATTTGTGAAATATATTTTAGGAATTTCATAAAAAAAAAAATTGAATTGTGCATTTTATATATTAGCCCCTATTTGGTATTGATTTAAATCAGATTTTAATCTAAGCAAAGTCAAACAATTAATATTATCCGTATTTTATGGATCCCAAACTTTTCAATTACATATTTCAAAATTTTTTATTAAAATCGACTAAAAATCTAATTTAGCTTTCACCAAAGTGGGGTTAATTTGTTGTAATAGTGTCAATGGGATACAACGAGAACCACTCCGTAAATAATGCGGGTCGGGTATCAGGATTCGATCCGATCCGATCCGATCCGTTTAGAGGGTATTGGACCATTTTTTTTTCTTTCTGTTTTAACATTTCTGCTTTTCGTTAAAATGTTCTGTGCTCCATTCTTCTTTCACAGAAACTTGTGAGAT